GAGAGAGGAGTGTAGCCGTCAGCTCTTGCTACCCGATGCTGTGTAACAACAACCGCAAAACTTTAGCCACGTACAGCCGCAGGCACTTAGCTCAGAGGCTTGGGTTGGGCTGGGCAGGGCTCATGGCTGTGTGGCGGTCCCTGGGTGTGGGCTTGCTGGGGCACTCTCTCATGGTCGTGTCAGAGATGTGAAAGCTGCAGCCTGCCACACTGCGTGAGTGCTTCTGCAAACTCTGCTTACACCATGTTTACTTACATCCCATTGGCCAAAGCAAGTCAGGAGGCTGAGCCCAGAGTCAGGGTGTGGGCGGTGCTTTGGAGTTATGATGGCCAAGGGCGTGGATACACAGAAGGGTGAAGAATTGGGGCCATGACAGCAATCACTGTTTCACAGATGTTCCTCAGACTCGGAGGCTGCTCCTAGTAAAGGGGGTGGAGATGCTGGTCAGGTAAGAACAGAGATGCCCCTCCCCACACACCACATGTCATGCCCTTCGTGCCCGGCCTCATTCTTTTAGGCAAGATGCTGTAGCTGTGCTTGAATTCAGAGCTGCTGCTACTGCTGCTGCTGCTGCTGCTGCTGCTGCTTCTCCTTCTTCTTCTTCTCCTTCTTCTTCTTCTTCTTCTAATGTTTATTTATTTTGGAGCACAGGGAGGAGCAGAGAGAGAGGGAGACAGAAAATCCCAAACAGGCTCCTTGCTGACAACAGAGAGCCCAGTATGGGGCTCGAACTCCTGAACTGTGAGATCGTGGCCAGAGCTGAAATCGAGTCAGATGCTCAACTGACTGAGCCACCCACACGCCCTGAGTCCAGAGCTTCTTAACTGTTTGGGGCTCTGGGCTCCAGAAACCATGTGCCTGCATCCCAGAGAGAGGCGTCCCCTGAACACATCACTTGGCCAGTCCCCGGAGACCCTCTCGTCCACCTGGAGTTCGCCATCTTTGCTATGCCCCAGTCTCTTCTCGGGAACTTGTTAAAATGCAGACGCCCAGGGTCTTGCCCTTGGACTTTTGGCTTGGTGGGTGTGCGGCAAGGCCCCGGAATCTGTATTTCTATCCAGCTCCCCAGGGGTGGGCACCAGTTTTCATTCAGCATCTGCGAATGAGGCAGGCCTGGCAAGTGGGGGGCAGGGCTGGCCCCCAGCCAGAGCCCCCGTCTCCTGCTCCCTCCCCTTCTGGGACTGCCTTCCCCTCATTCCGCTCTGCCCCTGTGGCCTTGGCAGTTCTGGCTGCTCCTCCCTCAGGGGGTTCGCTCTTGCCATTCTCTCACCTGCAATTCCCTTCCTCTGTCTCTGGGTCTCTGCTCTGCCCGCAGACAGCCCTTGCCAACCCCCGGCCCTCGCTGCTGTCTCCTCCCCAGGCCGCTTCTCTTCACCGCATGTGCCGCTCGCTGAGATGACCTTTTGGTTTATTTCTGTGCGTCTTTACGAGGTGTATCTCTCCTCCTCAAGTGAGCACCGCAGAGCAGACCAGAGACGGTGCTCAGCTTCTCCCTGGGGCGTCCCAGGAGCCGAATGCGGCGGTCCCGAGGAGGCGCCAAAATCCCTGTGGCTCGGAGAGCTGACACCCCGTGTCTCAATGCCCCGGGAGTGTGCGCGCTGCCTCGGAAACGCTCAGACCAAAACGGGCCATTGAGGGGTGCCAGGAGGGCCAGGCCGTGGGGAAGGAGGTCAGACCTCCCTCTCCGCCCGTGGGGAGCACCCGTGGCTCCCCACGCCTGTCCTATGGATCTTGCAGATCCCAAGGTGGATGTGGCTTGGGTGGGGACACTGGTGGAGCCGGTGGTTTAGAACGGGGCAAGCAGGAGTGTTTCTTCTGAGCTTTCAGAGGAAGCACGGTCCTCAGTTTCTGCTTCTGAAAAGTGGGGGTAATGAGGTACCAGGCTCTTGGATTGGTCCCTTCCAGGGGTTCCTGGGTTGATATCGACACAATTATCTCTGCCCCCAAACAGTCCCTCGGCTCCAGAAATGAATACAGGGGAGCTGACTCTGTACTTGGATGGCGATGTTGGCGAGGTGTGGAAGGTGGCCCGGCCCCAAGCTCCCCCGGCTGTTTGGATAATTTTGTTATAGGGTCGTCCACACACCAGCTTCAGGGAGCAGAGCTGGGGGATGGCCAGTGGCTGTGGGGGCCTTGTCCTGTGCCCCAGCCTCCCAGGAAGGGGGTCCACGGTGACAGCTGGACTGGGGTAGGGACAGAAGGGACAGAGTGGGATGGAGTGAGGCAGAGGGACACACAAGGAGAGAGACTCGGACACAGGGACACGCACAGATGCACAGGCAGACTCAGACACTAGTGCACAACCCCACATGACAAGGGGCTTGGGCCTGAGGAGCTGGAGGGGGAGGCAGATTCAGCTCGGGGCGGCAGGAAGGGGCCCTTGTGCTCATTTCCCAGGAGCCTCAGAATGTGCGACTCTGCCTGGGGCGGCCCTTCCAGATCTTCCGCCCTTGGCTCTGGGCATGTGGGGATCCTCGCCCAGTCTCCCCACCCCCAAGCCCCCGTGTCCTGTCGGTGGCAGTGGCTGAGGTTGGTGTTGGGGGGCTGCCCCGGGCCTCTCCAAACGGTCCCCGGTTATTTTTATCAGTCATTCACAGCCTAGGAAACTCAGAATGTGGGAGGCGGCATCTCGGCAAGCCAGCTGGACCTGCGCCCTGTCGCCTGTGGGACACACTTGTGGATCCCGCACTCCTCTCTGTCCACGTCCATTTGTCCTTCCTTCTCCCTGGGACCCCTCTCCACCCTGCATTCTCTCCGAGGGTCCAGTTCTGGAAGACGGGAGGGAGAGGCTTACCTCCCTGCTCCTGTCTGCCCCCCACTTCCCTCAGCTGCCAGACTTGCCCCTTGCCTGGTGAGAGCCCTTCTGGGTGGTCCTGGAAGAAGCACAGAGGGAGAGAGACCCTCCCCAGAGCTCAGGCGGGTGGGGTGGACACAAGTCTCGCTGTCACCGCTCGGTGGATACTTCCATTTGGAGGTTTGAAGGGAAGGAACAAACCGCAAACCAACCACTTGCTTTCCTGCCCTCGCCAGCAGGGGGCAGGCTGGGTCATGATGCCATAACCACCTGCAAGTCTGGGAAGGTTCAAACAACCTGGGGGGCTGTGTGTTTCATGCTATGTTCAGTGGGGACCCGGATAAAAGAGGCTCCACTTCCAGGTGGCCATGGCTGCTGAGGCCAGAGGGGGGGGGCCCTTTGCCCTTTGGACAAAGCAAATCCCATGGTGGCATCTAACATCCTGGGGGCTGGAGGATTGCTGTCCTATCATGGGCCTGGAAAGTGGGGGGCCGGGGAGATTGGTGGCTGCAGGAATGGCTACCGTACCCTCACCCCGCAGTAGCCCCATCCCAACAAATGACAAAAGACACACACACACACACACACTCAATCCATTAACAAATCCTATTGGCTTCTTTTAAAAACACATCCAGGGGCACCTGGGTGGCTCAGTTCGTTTTGCATCTGACTTTGGCTCAGGTCATGATCTCATGGTTTGTGAGTTCGAGCCTCACATCAGGCTCTGTGCTGACAGCTCAGAGCCTGGAGCCTACTTCGGATTCTCTGTCTCCCTCTTTCTCTGCTCCTCCCCCACTTGTGCTCTGTCTCTGTCTTTCAAAAATAAATAAATTGGGGCACCTGGGTGGCTCAGTCGGTTAAGCGTCCAACTTCAGCTCAGGTCATGATCTCACGGTTCGTGGGTTTGAGCCCTGCGTCGGGCTCTGTGCTGACAGCTCAGAGCCTGGAGCCTGCTTCGGATTCTGTGTCTTCCCCTCTCTTTGACCCTTCCCTGCTCATGCTATCTCTATCTATCCCTCAAAAATAAAATATTAAAAAATTTAAATAAAAATAAAAAAAACAAAAATAAATAAATGTAAAAAATTTTTTTAAACACATCCTGGGTCCAGCTATTTCTCACCCTCTCTCTGCCACCAAGACAGAGCCAGCACCATCCCTTGCCTGGATGACTCCAGCACAGCCCCCTCCCCCCACTGGTCTTCCTGCCTCCCCTTGTCCCCCGTAGACTGCTGAGCCAGCCTGTACACACCGGATGACGTCCTTCAATGGCCTCATCTTACTTGGGAAAAGCCAAAGGGCTCCCAGCAGTTAAAGGACCTGCCATAAATTGTCCCTATTGCCCTGCTACATTCGCCCTCGCTTCCGCTGCTGGGCTTTTGCACAAACACCCCCGGGCATGCCTTTGCCTCAGGGCCTTTGCACTTACAGTCCGAACACTCTTTCTCAGATTCCCACTCTCTCACTTTAATAAAATGTCCCCTTTTGTGTGGTCATCCTGTGACCCCCCCACTTCCAGCACACCCTTTACTACCACTCAGCTTAATTTTTTTCCATAGTACTTCTCCCTCCCTGACATTCATTTACATCAAATGCTCCAGTGACATGGCTCCTGCTCTGAGAATCACGATCTCCATCGACCCTGTTTTAGGGACAAGGACCCTCAGTCTCTTCAGGGAAAGGACCTCCTTGACACCGTGTCCCCACCACTTACAGGGCTGGTGCCTGGACCCACACCTCTTCCCCTCTGCCTTGGCTTCCATTGCTGGTCCTCAGTTATCCCTTAAAGATCCACAGACCTGGACCTTCCGCTTCATGACCTCTGCTCCATTTATCAGAAGGACGGTTATTTAAAAGTAGCCCTTCCCTGCCCTCCCCCCTCCCAGAAGCCACATTTCCTGGGATGGGTAGGAAGTAAACAGTTGGAATTAGTCTGAAGGAAGCCTCTGGCTTCCCATTCATGCTTTCGTTGACTTCTGTGAGCACCTGCTACATGCTACGTTTTGTCTATAAGTGCAGGGGTGATAGCAGGTAACAGGATACAGGAAGCTTTTAGTCTCATGGAGCTCACATTCTAGGGCAGGAAGACCGACGAGAGGCTGTGTGTACGTTTGTGCATTGCACTGAGGATTGCTGAGCCCCTCCTAAGACCCCTGTCTTCATGAAACAAAGGCCTTGTCTTCACAGAGCTGACATCCGAGGCAGGGTAGACGATGAGAATGGGTTTATTGGTGAGCCGGGATCACCAGATTGAGGCCAGAATGACCCCGGGACTCAGGAAACAACCAGACTCCCTGCAGGAGCGAAGGCTGATGGGAGCGAAGGCTGACTCGCTGTTTCCACATGTGTTCTTGCTTGCGCAACCTGACACACGTCTGTGACTTTTCAAGCGTGCCGCTCGTTTTCCTCCTAAACATGGTGGAGTAGAATTTTGAGACCCATGGTCATCTTTCCATACATGACCGCTCCCTCCACCCCCTGCCCCCCGCTGGCCATGTTGTTCTGGACCTTCAAATATTTTTCCGGCCTGGTTCTCCTCATCTTCAAAAGATTTATCCTCCTCCTTCTTCTTTTTTTTAATGTTTTATTTATTTTTGAGAGAGACATAGTGTGAGCGGGGGAGGGGCAGAGAGAGAGGGAGACCCAGAATGCGAAGCAGGCTCCAGGCTCTGAGCGGTCAACACAGAGCCCAACATGGGGCTCGAACTTATGGACTGTGAGATCATGACCTGAGCCGAACTCAGACGCTTAACCAAGTGAGCCACCCAGGTGCCCCTATCCTCCTTTGCAAGAAGAGATTACTTGGAAGGATTTTCTGGAAGCATTCTTGTCTTCTTTGGTCTTCATTCATTTATTATTCATTCACTTATTCATTCAACCCATTTACTGAGCGTTTCCTCTGCTAGGCACCAGGAATACTTGGCAAATGTGATGGATAAGGTCCCTGCTCGCAAAGAGTTCATATCCCAGTGGAGAGAAAATAGATAAGTTAATAAGATAATAATAGATAATCTAGTAATTTCGTACAGACATAAGTGCTATGAAATAGGGTCAAGAGGTGGCACTTGAGGGTGGAGTTTTTTCTTTTTTCTTTTTTAAAATAAAATTTTAATGTTTATTTATTTTAGAGAGAGAGAGACAGAGAATGAGCACAGGAGGGGCAGAAAGAGAGGGAGACACAGAATCTGAAGCAGGCGCCAGGCTCCGAGCTGTCAGCACAGAGCCTGACGCGGGGCTCGAATCTACAAGCTGTGAGGTCATGACCTGAGCTGAAGTCCAATGTTTAACAGACTGAGCCACCCAGACCCCCCAAGGTGGAATTTCTGATGGGGTGTCATGGAAACTTCTATTTGAAGTGAGGCTTCAGTGACCAGAGGGAGGCAGTGATAGGGGAGGGTGGCATTCCAGGCAGAATTAGTCTGTCCTTTGTGATGGGTCACCTCAGTTTTCTTTTTCTTTTTCTTTATTTATTAAAACATTTTTTAAACTTTTATTTATTTGAGAGAGAGAGAGTGAGAGAGCACACAGTGAGGGAGGGGCAGAGTGAAGGAGAGACAGAATCCTAGGCAGGCTGATTCGGGGCTCGAACTCACAAACCGTGAGATCATGACCTGAGCCGAGACCAAGAGTCGGATGCTTAACTGACTGCACTACCGAGGCGCTCTTTTTTTTTTTTTTTTTTTAATGTTTATTTATTTTTGAGAGAGAGAGAGAGAGCGCGTGAGCGAGAGCACAAGTGAGCTGGGAGGGGCAAAGAGAGAGGGACAGAGGATCCCAAGCGGGATCTGCACTGACAGCAGAAGGTCAGATGCGAGCCTTAAACTCCGGAATTATGAGATCATGACCCGAGACGAAGTTGGACGCTGAACTGACTGAGCCCCCCAAGCGCCCCTCCCCTCAGTTTTCTACTTACCGAGTTAATTTTCTGTGAGTTGTGTTTTCTCGGAAAATTATTTATCAAGAGTTTTGAACTTACTTGCATAAAACTTAGCACAGTATTTTCTTATGATTAAAAGGAAAATTCTCCCTTTGATCAGTTTCCTTTTTGTACTCCTAATCCTGTGTATTTGTGTTTCCTCTCTTTCTCTTGTTTTTCTGGCTGGAGTCTGCCGAGTATGATAGGGGCCCTGCTGGAAATTGCTTTTCAGACCCTCCAGAAAATGCAGCCTGGTTTGCAATCTTTACAGGGGATCTGTGCAGAGAAGCCCTGATAATTTGTTCCCCTTTTTCAAGCCTAGGTCTTGCTAGGCTGTTTCATGGCCCCTCTCCCCTCCTCCCCTCCTCCCTGCCTGTGGTTAAGAATCTGTTCTCCTGTATTTATCAATACTGTTTAAAATTTTGAATATGGCCTGTTTTCCTTTGGCTTAGGTTTTTGAGGTTTGTTTTGTTAGCATTTTCAAGTATTTGAGTTGAAAACTTTGTATCTATAGTTAAAAAAAAATACATTTAATGCTACGAGTTTGCCTCTGAGCCTTTCACTCTGGTCCTATCTTCTGAGTTTCAAAATGCAGTGCTCTCTTTGTAATGATTTTCAAAAAATTCTGAACTTCTAGTTTTGTCTCTAACAGTTCTGAACTTCAGAATAATCCAAGAATGATTTAGTAGAGTATCGAAAGGTCCCCAGTGCTTCGTCTTACTTCCTTAAAATTTTGGCATTGATTTCTAATTTTGCTGAATGATAGAGAACGTGGCCTGTGAAATTTCTGCTTCATATTTCTAAAATTTTTCTTTGGTAAATGCTTTGGTAAACGTCCCTGAAAAAGCAGCGATGTTCCCTGTGTGTAGGGTAAAGCAGCTTTATACATAATATTATTCAAGGACTGTCTTGTTTATCTCTCTTTGCTCTCTTGCTCTGTCAAAAGCTGGATATAGTGGGTCAAAGTCTTCCCCTTCCATAGCATTCTTTCCATTTTTACTTGTGCTTCTGATAGTTTTTGTTTTTATAAAGTTTGATTCGCTGTTATTCATCACAAAACGATTTGTGACAGTTATATTTTCATTGTGAGATTGTGGATTTTATCTTTTGTCAAGATAAAATGACTCTTTTCCCCTCGTGAATGCTTTTTGCTTTGGATTCTAGGTCTTCATATTTTAATATTGCTGTCCCAGCCTTGTTTTGTTTGTGTCCCCTTGATGTGTCTCTTCTCAGCCTTTTCATTTTAACTTCCCATGTCCTTCTGTTAGGTGTCTATCTGGCATGAGCAATGTAGTTACAGTTTGTCTTCTGGTACAAATGGAGCCTCTTAACCGAATAACATTTATAAACACATTTGATTTCCTTTCTCTAGCGCTCTCTCTCTCTTTTTTTTTGGTTGAATGCTTACAATTTTTTAGTCCTTTATCTTTTACTATATGGTTAGGTTTTGCTTCTTTTTTCTTTACCAATGATTTAAAAATATATGCACACTACTGTTAATTCTGTTTTTAATACTGGGACTCCTCTTTTTCTGATAATGATGCAGAGTGATATGGCATATAGTGCCTTTTTTTTTTTTGAAATCTGTTTTTTACTCAGATTTGTAACAACAATAGCAGAGTGGTCCTTTGCTTACCTGGTTTCAGCGCTAATTATAAGTCCCTTTAGTTTACTTTTCCCTCTGTTTTTGTTCATGCGTTGGGTGGATTTGAGCATGAGGTGTGACAGCCACCAGTGGTATGCTGGGTGCATGCCAGATGCTGGGATATAATCTAGGTGGCTTCCTGCCCTCATGGAACTTCTAGTTGTGTGTATGTGTGTGCACGAGTGTGTGCCCTCACATGTGAATGTGTGTGAATAATACACAAGGAAGCAAACCCATTCCCTCACAGGAGAGACATGTAGTTGAGACTTCAGGAGTGAGAGGAAGTGAGCCGTGGGCAGATGGAGGGCATGGCACGTGCAGAGGCTCTGTGTAGGGACAGAGTGCAGAGAGTGGGTAGAAGGAAGACGGATGTGGCTGGAGTATAGTGAGCTAGGAAGAGTGGTGTCAGGGAAAGTGGGAGAGATAGCAGAGATAAGATCAGAGCTTTGTAGATGTGGAGGGGTTGGCTTGGTCCTCAATGTGCATGATCTACTTCTTAGATCTTAAAAAACAAACAAACAAGAACAAACAAACACTAAGAATAGCTTTCCTTGGTCTTTGGATATGGATGATGCTACAGCTGGGTATAGAATCCACAGGTTTAAATCTTTTCCCTCAGCATCCTGTGGGCCTCACTCTCTGCTTTCTGGGATTTAGTGTTGAGGAAGAGATGTCTAAAGTCAGCCTAATTTTCCCTTTGTAGGCAACATTTCCTGCCCCCCCTCAACCAAATTCTTGTATAGTTTTTCCTCATTTATCCATAATATAGAGAAGTTCATCATGGAATTTATAAATGTTGATTTTTTAAATTGGCTGGATAGCTGTTGCTATCAGCTTAAGGAGGCTTGATTTGTATTTTCCATCATTTCTACTATTCCATTTGTTCCAAGCTTTGCTTCAAGGACAACACTTATGTATGGGATTGGTTTCTATTCTTTGACCTCTATGTCGATTATTTTCTCTCTCATAATTTTAATGTTCTCTTTTTTGTCTCATTCTTTTGGAATTTACCCTGCTTGGTATTCCCTGGACCTGTGGTTTGGTATCTGACATTAATTTGGGAAATTCTCAGTCATTATTGTTTCAGACATTAATGTTTCCATCCCCCTCCCCCCCCCGCCCCCGCTTTCTGGTATTCCCATCACACATGTTACACCTTTTATAGTTGTCCCACTGTCCTTGAATATTTTGTTCTATCTTTTATTCCTGTCATTTTTTTCTCCTTGCTTTTCAGTTTTGGAGGTTTCTATTGATGTATCCTCAAGTTTAGAGATTCTCTCCTTAGCCATGTCCAGTCTGTTCATCAGCTTATCAAAGGCGTTCCTGGGTACTGGTGTGGCTCAGACAGTTGAGAGTCTGACTCTTGATTTCAGCTCAGGTCACGATCCCAGGGTCATGAGATTGAGCTGAGCATGGAACCTGCTTGGGATTCTCTCTGGTCCCCCCCTCCCACCCCAGCCTCATGTGCATTCTCTCTCTCTCTCAAAAAGGCATTCCTGGGGCATATGGGTGGCTTAGTAGGTTAAGCATCCGACTTCAGCTTAGGTCATGATCTCACAGTTCATGGGTTTGACCCCGTGTTGGGCTCAATGCTGATAGCTTAGAGCCTGCTATAAACAAATTTTAAAAAAACAAAGGCATTCCTTATTTCTGTCACAGTGCTTTTGATCTCTGGCATTTCTTTTTGGTTCTTTGTTAGTTTTTCCACTTATATTGCCCATCTGTTCTTACATGCTCTCTATTTTATCCATTAAAGCCCTTAACATGTTCATCATAGTTGTTTTCGGTTCTTGGTCTCATAGTCCCAATAGCCCTGCCATTTCTGAGTCTGGTTCTGATGTTTGCTCTGTCTCTTCAAATTATGTTTTTGTTTTTTTGTCTTGGAGTATGCCTTGTAATTGTTTTCCTAATAGTTGGACATTATGTATTGGGTCAAAGGAACTGCTGTAAACAGACCTTTAGTGGGTGAGCTGGAGGGGAGGGGGAAGACAAATATTCTATGATTCTGTGATTAGGTGTGAGTCTTTTAGTGAACCTGTGCTCTGGGCTGTGACTGAACATATGCTTCTCAGTCCCCTCCTCTGTTAGGTGACATGGCATAGCTAGAGCAGGCTGGGGCGGAGTATTTGCCTTCCTCCAGATCATGTAGTCTTTGAGAATACCCCAGCAGGTTAGGATTTGGTTAGCTGGTTCTGGAAGGCAAGCCCTGTTAAGAAAAACAGAATGCTCTGGTCTATTTCAAAAATAGTTCCTTTCCCACTCCCCCTGCTGGAAGCATGAGAGGATTTTTATCTGATATTCATTGTGAGGACCTGGTAGAGCTTCTGGAGGTAAAACTCACAAAAGTATGGCGTTCCTGATGACCGGATTCCTCTGGAATTGTTCTCTCTCAGATTTGTCCGCACTCAGCCTCCAGCAACTCATCAGTTACAGGTCTGGAGTCCCTACACCCCTGGTAGTTCCCATGGCGGTTTCTGCTCCAGTAGGTTATACTCTGTCTCTGGCTGTCTCTCCAGTTTTGGAGGTAGCAGTTTGCCCTGGGACCTCACATCTCTTAGGGAACAAGAAGAGTTGTTGATTGCTCAGATTTTGACTTCTTGTTAGGACAGATGGTTGACTTCCGGGCTTCTTATGTGCTGGACCAGAAGCTGGAAGTTCTGTCTTGGATTATTCTTTTGCATTCCAAAATAGTTTAGAGAGTTTGTTCTCTGGCTTCTGGTATCTCTGAATGCTCAGGAGAGAGGCCTCCAAGCCCCAAATCCTTCATACTTTTCTACCCTAGTGATCAAGGTGAGACAGTGCTAGACCAGCTCTGGTGGTGTCTTGCTTTCTGTCCCCTGCGCCCAGCCTGGTTCTGCTTGAAGGGTGGGGAATGTGCCTCCACTGAGACAAGAGAAGGCTTGTGGACCTGATTTCAGTTCCAAGTCAGAGGAGCAGAGACTCAAAAGAAAGAAAAATCTCTGCCTCTCGAGTTGAGTCTCATGATGTCCCTGAGTCATGTCAAAACGTCTTCTCTTTGGTGGAGGTTTAAGTCTCTTGAACTTGGTGTTACTAATACTCTTCACCTGCCAGTTCAGTGTTCTGCAGGGCTGGGTCTGCCCTTCACTCATTTCGATGGGTACTTCACTCCTGCCTTTGTATCTATGGTAACTTACAGTCCTTCCCTTCCTCACTGCCTGGACTGCCTTCCTGGCAACTCTCCTCAAGGACATGGGTTGTCTTACCCTCCAGTCTCCTGAGCCTTGGCTGTAGTTTTCTTAGGGACACAAAGGAATGTTTTCATGAATTATCTGTGCTTCCTTTAATGAGTGCATTTCAAAGAGGTGCTTCTCTGTTCTATCTTGAGTATATCATTCCTCTTTTTAGGTTGTAGAATTGTCCCCCAGTGCCCTATGTGTAATTATTTTCCATGTGTTTCCTCATTGTGGGTATGGGCCGGTCTCTCCAGGCCTAGTGTTTCCTCATAAGTAGAGCAGGTTGTCTTTGATCTTTTTTCCTTACACCTGAATGCTGTTAGGTTCCTCCTCACCTATCTTAAGATCTTAATTGATCCTGATGGCTGGCATTTATAACACTAAGCCAATATCTGCTTGGGGGGATATTTTTTTAAGTTTATTTATTTATTTTTGAGGGGGGGATAGAGAGAGAGCACATGAGCTTGAGTGCCCATGAGCAGGGCAGGGGCAGAGTGAGAGGGAGAGAGAGAATCCCAAGCTCTGTGCTGTCAGTGCAGAGCCCAACATGGGGCTCAAACTCACAAACTGCAAGATTGTGACCTGAGCCGAAATCAAGGACTGGATGCTTAACCGACTGAGCCACTCAGGTGCTCCTGTTTTGTTTTCTTTTTTAATTTTTATTTGTTTTTTTATTTTTAAAATATTTTGTGACTCTGCTAGCTAAAGGTCAGACTCCCTTGCTTACCTCCTGGGGTTTTGCATATGGCAAAGAGGAATTACCTTTCTTTTTTTTTTTTTTTTTAATATATTTATTTATTTCTAGGAGAGAGAAACAGCGTGAGCAGGGGAGGGTCAGAGAGAAAGGGAGATACAGACTCTGAAATAGGCTCCAGGCTCTGAGCTGGCAGTCAGCACAGAGCCCGATGCGGGGCTCGAACCCACGAACTGTGAGATCATGACCTAAGTGAAAGTCGGACGCTTAACCGACTAAGCCACCCAGGCGCCCCAGGAATTACCTTTCTTAACAGAAACGGTTCATGCAAAACTTCACTTCCCAAGGCGCACCCTTCCTACGTGTCTCCCCATCTTTGCCCAGTTTTCTTTGCAAGTCAGGATGCAGTGCCCTGTTGCTTTTCCATGCAGGCTCTCAGCCGTGCGCCCTCAGTGGGAATCACAGGTGCTAGATGGATGGAAGCTGGAGGTGAAAGGTCCTGTTCTCTGTGGAAAGTGGTTCATGGGCCACAGAGGGGAGGCGTTGCTTCCACCAGGCCCGGCAACGTCACGGATGTAGGGCGCTGGAAGCCTTTGGTCTCCTTTCTTGGCTGCAAAGATAAGTTGGTTCATGGACATTCCTTCTTGGTCCAGCAGAGGTCATTGCCGATAGGGCCCCATTTCTAGCGCCCTTTGTAACATTTCACTGTTTTGTGTTTCTCTTTGAGGTTTTGACTGAAAGATGGCCAAGAGGGGACAAATCACACATCCCTGGGCTGCCAACAATCTTAACCTAGAAGCCTCCCATCTTCTGATGGGTATAGGTCTTGATAGATAGGAGCAAAGACATCTATCTGGATTATATCTGTGATCGACATCTCCACTGGATTTAGAATCAAGAACGTATAAATTGGCATCATGACCCATTCATTCACTCATTCACTCATTCATTACATGACTATTTACTAAGCTCTGGATTTGCATTAATATTTTATCAGGTGCTTTATCCTGACAGGTGCTGGAGATAAAAGATGGTTGACACTGGGTCTTTGTCCTGGGAGGAATTCTCCCAGTACCAGCGCTGTGTGATCTTGACTAAGTGACTCACCTTAGCGGTGCCTCATTTTACCCATCTGTGAAATGACCACCATAGCCCAAATGTCTGAAGGGACATTCAGACCCTTCATGTCTGAAAGGCTGCAACATGCAAGTGAGGTCTCTTCCACGGCTCCCGGTTCTGGGATCCACGAGCAGGTTTGCTACTTTCATGTCTGGGGGAAGCACTTGGAATGTAGGGAGAGGATCTGGGATGGGGACACTGGTGGAAAAAGAGAGTTTTGTTCATTCTTAACTGGTTGCTGGGCGGCCAGTCTGGGCAGGAGCCCTGAGTGCCCAGAGGGCCAGAGCCCAGCGGAAGGAAGGTTCTCGGTTCTGGGTGCTGGGAGACCTCTTCATCTCCAAAGGTCCCACCCAACTGCAGGGATTCTCCTTTTTCTTTGCTAGAAAGGTATCTATTCTTGAAATTTCATCCATTCTCTCATTAGAAAGTGTTTGAGTGTTTGTTTTGTTTCAGGGGGCTGTTTTTTGGTAACGAGGATTCAGTGACAAAAAAGACAAGGTCTGTACGTTTATCAGCTTTTCATACTTTTTTAGGGGGGAGGGTGGTAAGGCAACAAATAAATAAATAAGATGGTTTCAGAGTGTGAGAAATACAATGAAAGAAAGGTCTGGGGAGGGAGGCCTCTCTGGGAAGCTGGTGTTTCCCTGAGACTCGACTGACAGACAGGAGCCTCCCAGTGAAGATCTGGAAAGCTATCAGGCAGAGGCAGCAGCAAGCGCACAGGCCCTAAGTGGGCGTGGGGGCTGGGAAAGAGGTGAGTAGGTGATTGCAGAACGATCCACACAAGATGTCAGATTGAGCTGGAAGGGGTGGGCGTAGGGGAGGGTGATGGGCTTGGGAATTGTTTTGCAGGAAGAAGCAACAGGACTTGATGGGGAGGCCGGCAAAGGAGGGAGAGGAGTCGGGGGTGACCCTTGAGGTTTGACCCGAGAGATGAGTGGGTGGTGCCACTTGCTGAGAGAGCGGGGAGGAACAGATTCAAGAGAGAAAGTCCGAAATTTTGTTTGGGGGCGTATTAAGGTATAGATGCTTGTATTGACATCTGACCTGCTGAGGATTGAGGACAGTCGTCCAAACTAGTGTGTGTGTGTGTGTGTGTGTGTGTGTGTGTGTGTGTGTTCTGATAAGAGTTTCTCAAAGTTGGCACTGTTGACATTTTAAAGTTTTTTTTTAATGTTTATTTTTTGAGAGATAGAGCCTGAGAAAGCAGGACAGGGGCAGAGAGAGAGGGAGACACGGACTTCCTTGAAGCAGGCTCTAGGCTCCGAGCTGTCAGTACAGAGCCTGATGCAGGGCTCGAACTCACAGGCTGTGAGATCATGACCTGAGCCAAAGTCAGACGCTTAACTGACTGAGCCACCCAGGCAGCCCCAGCACTGTTGACGTTTTAGATCAGATCTTTCTTTGTTGTGGGGGGGCTGTCCTGTGCACTGTAGGGCATTTAGAAGCCTCTGTGCTATTAGCATCCACCTGAGTGAGCCAAAATGATCATTCAGATGTCTCCAGGCATCATTAAATGCCCTCTGGGGGACAAAATCGCTCCTGGCTGAGAAACTACATGATATCTTCCCAGGGACACTTACAGTTGTCATGGGAAGAAATGGAACACACACAGCACAAGGGCCAGCACCACCCCCTTCCTCGCCTGTGATCCACATCCTTAACTGGTCATATCACTTTTTCCTGATCTCAGACACCACCTCAGAATCCTTAACGCAATTGGCCAATAGCCATCATGAGTGACTGAGATTGGTAATAAGAAGAAACTCATTTAATCTCCCTGTTCTAGGGCTAAAAAAAAAAAAAAAAGGACCCAGAATGTTCTCTGTGGCCCACACACTGATTTACAGTAAACCCTCGACAGCAGTCTTTGTCCATCTGTGCCTCAGTGTCCCTGCGTGTCAGCTGCAAGCAAAGCTAACCGCTTTCTATGGATCTGACAGAGCCTTAAGTGGGAGGATCAATGAGATAATCTTGGTAACTCAATTTGAGTTTTTGGAGGCGGGCAGAATATTACAGAAATGCACAGCTGAATCATTATCTCATGGGGTGCTGTGAAGGTGAACCTGTAAATAATTAGAAAACATTTAGCTCTTATAAAGTGCCAGGTTTAATAATGGGAATAACGAGAAGGAAAGGCTCTCAGAAGTGGGCAGGCAGGTTGGAAGGCCTGGCGATAGGCTCTCAGGCTCTATGACCGAGAGGACGGAGCAGCGGTGCTCAAGGCTACGGTAATCTGTGTGTGATGTTTTGTTCAGGTTCCGCGTAACCATGGAGACAGACTCCCCCCACCCCCTTCTTTCCGTGGAGCCGATTCCACACTCCTGCACTGTGTATACACCATCCACACACGGCCCCCTTCCCTCTACCACGACTCCTTCTGGCTTGGGCAGAAGCGAGGAGTCAGAGGGGGATCTAGAGAGGGACAGCATCTTGGAATCTGCCAGCATGGTGGCTTTAAACCCTGCCTCTGCCCCTTCTGGAGTGTGTGATCGTGGATAAATCGCTCAGCTTCTGGGAGCCTCCGTCTCCTAATCTGTAAAATGAAGATAAAGCACTTGCTTCCCCTCCCCCAGGGTTATGGGAGGGGGGAGGGTCAGACTCCCATCTCGAAGGGGAGAAGC